CACCGGGTCGGCGATTACAGTCATCTTGACCCGGCCTGAGATACGAGGCCGCCGTCGGAACTGTAGCCGGTAACCATGGGTCAGAGTGGCAACCACCCATGGGTCCAAGGCGTGAGCAACCCAATAGCTGAGCTGCTGGTGGGAGAAATATCCGACGGTCGGCCTGATGGCATCACCGTCTCCCTCCACGACCCCTAGGGGCCGTGGGGGGGCGGCAGCCAGAGTCCCTGGTCCGAGCCTGCCCAGCTGGTCGGTGGACCAACCCACGAGAGCTCCTGCTGGGCCTTTGCTGAACCGCATGAGGGTAAGGACCACCCGGCCGGTTATGACCCCCAGGCGGCGGCTGCATGCTGGAGCCAGCCGACAGGCGCCTTGGATGCCGAGGAGGTGGAGGGGGCATTGGCCTGCTAAGGCTCGAAAATTGCTGCCTTCTCTGTCGTGCCTGGACAGTCCGTTCCAGTGCTTCCAAGGCAGCCGAACCGAACAACTCCCCCGGCACCACTGGGACATTACGGAGGGCTCTACGGCATGGCTCAGTCAACGCTGACTGAGCTAACCAGACCTGTCGGCGAGCTTGGACCAAGGAGGACATCACACGCCCAAGCTCCCTCGTCATTAGTGCAAAGGCCTGAAGCGCTGCATCGTTAAAGCCCATCGCTGCTGTCGCACCACTAGTCCCCTGAAGGGACGCGGAGAGGGCAAGCATTAGGTGTGCCAAGGAATTACCTAGGCGGCCAGCACGCGCTCCGGCGGCATAGGCTCTGCAGAGGAATTCATCCGTGACACGACACTGAGCTCGTGGGCACCGAACATGACTGCGCAGAGCTTCATCTGGTGACACGATGAGAGAGGCAACAGCAGGTTCTATCGCTGGCATGCGATCCAAGCCTGCTGCAGCCGGCTCATGCATGGCCGCCAACACTCTGCCATCTGCAGAGAGGCGCGCAAAGGCCTTGGGGTCCCGCCAGCAACCATGCAACTCCCTCAGGAACTCCTCTGATGGAGGGACAGAAAAGGAAGGAGGGGTCAGTCCGCGCCTGAAGAAGGCACTTCCAGGGGTGGACGCCTCTGGTTGCGGGACGTCCAGCTGCAGTTGTCTCAGGGCCATACGCATAATGTCCTGCATCGAGCCGTCACCCGACCCACTAACTGCACTCCGAGAAGAAGAGAGTGAAGCTGTCTCTGAGACTCGAGATGAATGCCCGTCCTCCTCACCTAAAAAGTGAGAGGCAGAGGCAGCCAAGGATAGCACATCCTCCTCCACAGCCAGTTCAGGCATGGGTGGGGAGGAGAGTCCAGTTGCTGCCACTGGTTCAGTTCCCAGTTGGTGTACCTGAAAAAGGGACTTCATCTCCGCTAATTCAGCGGAGAGCTGCTCCACCCTTGTGGAGAGGCCCCTATCAGACCTGGCTCGCTTCTTCCCAGGAGGGGCCACAGAAACTGCGGCCTCAGTCCGGCGCTTCGAGCGCCTAGGTGGAGCCTCCTGCCCAGAAGGCGGGAGGTCATCGCCGAGTTTGGGGCGAAACTGGGCCAGCCGGGCCACCCTCACAGCATGCGACATGACGCTGCAATTCATGCAGGGGTTCTCTGACAGGGCATCCACCAGATGGTCATGTCCAAGGCAGGCAGGACACAGGTCGTGACCGTCATCTATCTGGAGCATGGCTCCACAGACTGTACAGCAGTGAGAGCCGTCCATGCTCCTTACCCAGCTATGCCCAAGATATTCAGAGGGGCTAGCACCACTAGCTCAGCTGTTAAAAGAGGACAATTGGGAGAGGGGGCGCGAACGCTCGCCTTCACCAATCAAACAAGGTCAAAACTCAGAGAGGCTAGCACCACTAGCTCAACTGGTAAAAGAAGACAATTGGGAGAGGGGGCACGAACGCTCGCCTTCACCAATGAAAACAAGGTTAGAACACAGAGAGGCTAGCACCACTAGCTCAACTGGTAAAAGAGGACAATTGGGAGAGGGGGCGCGAACGCTCGCCTTCACCAATGAAAACAAGGTTAGAACTCAGAGGCTAGCACCACTAGCTCAACTGGTAAGAGGACAATTGGGAGAGGGGGTGAGAACACTCGCCTTCACCAAATAAAACAAGGTTAGAACTCAGAGAGGCTAGCACCACTAGCTCAGCTGGTAAAAGACGACAATTGGGAGAGGGGGTGAGAACACTCGCCTTCACCAATTAAAACAAGTGAAAACTCAGAGAGGCTAGCACCACTAGCTCAGCTGGTAAGAGGACAATTGGGAGAGGGGGTGAGAACACTCGCCTTCACCAAATAAAACAAGGTTAGAACTCAGAGAGGCTAGCACCACTAGCTCAGCTGGTAAGAGGACAATTGGGAGAGGGGGTGAGAACACTCGCCTTCACCAAATAAAACAAGGCCAGAAACTCAGCTGGCTACGTAATAAACAAACTTCGGAGCACGGTCCAACCGACCACGCGGTTGGAGGCCTCCAGTAAACAAGAGCGGAGCGAACGCTACCGTTAACCAAATAGCAAAATATAAGCAAAAAACCACTACTTACCAGTGTTAAATCACACACATAGTAGTCATAAACAACGTCGGAGCACAGTCCAGCCGACCACGCGGTTGGAGGTCTCCTAACAAGCGTGAGCGGAGCGAACGCTACCGCTAACCAACGGCGAAATATAAGGAAAACTACTCACCGGTGTTGAATCACACACATAGTAGTCAGACGCTGTAAGTTGGGAGAGGCGGAAACAGCCGTAGTTCCCAACGAAACAGCAGAAATACCTTTGAACAGGGTTAAACCGTCGCAGCCCTAGGAGGGCGAACACGCTACTCCCGCAGACGGGCAGTCGGGCTTCCGACGACGGTAAAAAGTTCAGAAAAGGTCCAAAGGGCTGAAGCCCTGAATTGAACCGCGCGCGAGAAGAAAATAGGAGCAGAGCAGCGGATGACGTCGGGCTATATAGCCTCTGATTGGTCATCCGTGTCACACCTGTGACTCCGTTGGTATTATTACTCGAATCAGCGCATGCGCGAAGGGAACATTCAGTGCTTTCAGCACCGCCCTCTGGCGGTCAGGAGGGATGAAATAGAACCCCAAATTCAGTATCTCAGAAAATTTAAATATTACTTAAGACCAATAAAAAAAAGGATTTTTAGAAATGTTGGCCAACTTTAAAGTATGAACATGAAAAGTATGAACATGTGCAGCATCAATACTTAGTTGGGGCTCCTTTTGCCGGGATTACTGCAGCAATGCAGCGTGACATGGAGTCGATCAGTCTGTGGCTCTGCTCAGGTGTTATGAGTCCAGGTTGCTCTGATAGTGGCCTTCAGCTCTTCTGAATTGTTGGGTCTGGTGTATCGCATCTTCCTCTTCACAATACTCCATAGATTTTCTTTGGGGTTAAGGTCAGGTGAGTTTGCTGGCCAATTAAAAACAGGGATACCATGGACCTTAAACCAGGTACTTGTAGCTTTGGCACTGTGTGCAGGTGCCAAGTCCTGTTGGAAAATTAAATCTGCATCTCCATAAAGTTGGTCAGCAGCAGGAAGCATGAAGTGTCTAAAACTTCCTGGTAGACAGCTGCGTTGACCTTGGACCTCAGAAAACATAGTGGACCAACACCAGCAGATGGCATGGCACCCCAAACCATCACTGACTGTGGAAACTTGACACTGGACCTCAAGCAACGTGGATTCTGTGCCTCTCCTCTTCCTCCAGACTCTGGGACCTTGATTTCCAAAGGAAATGCAAAATTTACTTTCATCAGAGAACATAACTTTGGACCACTCAGCAGCAGTCCCAGGTGAGACACTTCTGATGCCGTCTCTTGTTCGAGTGGCTTGACACAAGGAATGCGACAGTTGAAACCCATGTCTTGCATATGTCTGTGCGTGGTGGTTCTTGAAGCACCGACTCCAGCTGCAGTCCACTCTGTGAATCTCCCCCCACATTTTGGAATGGGTTTTGTTTCACAATCCTCTCCAGGGTACAGTTATCCATATTGCTTGTACATTTTTTTCTGCCACATTGTTACCTTCCCTTTGTCTCTCTATTAATGTGCTTGGACACAGAGCTCTGTGAACAGCCAGCCTCTTTAGCAATGACCTTTTGAGTCTTGCCCTCCTTGTGCAAGGTGTCAAAGGTTTTCATTAGTTGTCAATTCCAATCATCAACATTAAAATAAATAAACATTTGAAATATATCAGTCTGTGTGTAATGAATGAATATAATATACAAGTTTCACTTTTTGAATGGAATTACTGAAGGAAATCAACTTTTTCATGATATTCTAGTTTTATGGCCAGCACCTGTAAACTGTAGTGAACATAAATGCTTTGAAAAGAACATTTATCACAATTCTGGCATAGGTTTCTAAACCCGTGTGTAGATCCTCTACCTTTATCTGCAGAAGCAGTGTGGTCAGGCGGGAGATGAGGTGTGTGAGGCTGGGATTTGTCACACTCTGCTGTCCGTCTCTCTGGAAACTGCCCTGCTGCACCATCTGCTGAGCCTCCTCTTCACAACGCCGCCGCAGCTCTGTGGGATGGTCGGCTGGAACCATGCCCTGATCTGGAGCGAGCTTCAGAGATGAAAGACTCTTCAAACATCACCAAGAAAAAAAAATCACAGCTTATCTAAGCTGTTTACCATATTTTCCGCCGTACACGTCGCACCAGCCCAAATATGTCTAATGAAGTGGGAAAAAAACAAATGCGTCATATCGTAAGTCACATCTATTATGCGTCACCGCTGACAACCCAGAAATGTGGGCCTTGTTGTGCCAAAAATCGAATGGCTGCCAAATAGCGGCCGCAGGAGCATGCATAGGAGAACTTTAACAAGAATTTAACAAGATTAACATTTAAAAATAATAATTTGTTTGTTCAAAATTATAGCAAAGGTGTGTCTCAAGAGCTTTTTCTTAATAAAAAGGACTTTTAACGGTCAAATCAGCTGCATTTCAGAAGCCGATTGCAGCTGCGGGAGAGCGCAGAAGGATGACTCCCTGTGCATTTCTTCGAAATTTAACAAAATAACCACCTAAAAACAATTGTTTGTTTGCTCGAAATTATAGCAAAGGTGTGTCTCAGTTGAATTAGTCGAGGGCCCTCTAAAGGCTGAAAATGGTAGTGTTCAATATTTTCCATGTTGAAATGAATGAAATCGTCAGATCCCAGCCAAAAATTGGGTTATAAATGAGGAAAAAAAAAAAAGTTGCTTCGCTGTATAAGTTGCAGGGATGCCAATTTATGCAAAAACCTGCCACTTATACGCTGGAAAATAAGGTAGTTCACTGAGTAGTATTTAATATGTGGGTCGGTGAGGGTATAAAATGTACAGTTTGACTTACTTCACAGCAGAACTGCTGAACTTCATGAAGAACTTTGTTCAGATCTTTGTTGAGATGTTCGAGCTCGAGCACAGTGGTAGCATATCGCTTCTGAAAGTCCAGGTCAATGGGCAACGAGTACGACTTCTGAATACAGGGAACACACGTGCAGTTGGGTCAGGCCTCGCAGATGAATTAACTCTGAGTTACTTTAAATTGCATTTGTACCAGTTTCTCAGCTTCTGTGTTCATTTCTTTTAAGTGCTTGATGTGCTCTTTCTTGATCATGAGGATTTTGGACAGCCTCGTCTACAAACAGGAAAGTGGGGAGAAAAAAAATAAGTTGTTGGGGGCAAAAGATAAATAAAAACATATACTTTTTTTTGTTTGTTTTTAAGGATGTCATCATTTTATAGGAAATACTTACAACTTGGACCAGGAATTTAACAGGAAATCCTCCCAGTGTATCTCCCTCTGCACTGGGCAGTTTGTTCTTCCACGGTGAAGCGTTCATGAGAGGATCATTGTCCTGTAAACAAACAAAAATAAAATGTTGTGCAGCTGAACACATTAGTATGATGGCCACTATTTAAACACTAATATTCTAACAAAGAATAATAGTTTCAAAACAATTAATTTACTTTTTTTAAACAGTCGGTGTCAAACCTGCAGTATACATCAGCTAAAGTTTCAGGTAGGAGTCCTTACAGCTGAGACAAACTAACCAACAACAGAGGAGCAAATATTCCTCATCTAAAGCAGTGGTTCCCAACCCTGATCCTTGAGGAACACCATCCTGCATGTTTTAGTTGTTTCCCCGCTCCAATACACCTGATTCAGTGATTCAGTGATTAATTACGTCATGTTCTGCAGAAGCCTGTTAATCGTTCATTCAAACCAGGTGTGTCAAAGCAGGAAAACGACACGACAAGTAAGACACTGACTACTCATATGTATACGTGGTCCAGGCAGGTGGTTAAGATTAATTTACTCACAAAGCAAATTTAAATGAACAGTGTGAGAACTGTCCATCATTAGGTTTGTGTACAGTACCAGGTGAACAGGGGTGGTGACAGATGGGTAGGGTCCTCTGGGAGGAGTCACAAGGTTCTGCATGTACCGTGTTGACCGATGCTTCTGTGCAAAGGCTGAAATGGGCATGGTCTCGTTGGGTTCATTGCTCTGTAAAACATTTTTTTAAATTTATTTAAAACATGAACTAAAAACTTCTTCAGTACTGCCACTAAGAGAATCAAAATGATTTCTGAAAGCATACAGGAAGTTAAGGTGCTTACCAAGACTTCATAATCGGGCACAGTATGAGTTCCTAGACCACTGCGGTCGAACGTCACACGGTACGTTGCAGCGGTGGTGTCGACAGCGTCAATCTGACCCGTGAAAAGTCCGTCGTGGACGCCTCGGAGACGAGCTGTTGAACACAAAGCATTTCTTACCTTTTAGCAAAGACGTTTTCTTCATGTTTCTACACACCAGGAAAGGAAAAGTATGTCTGCAGCCATAAATACAATTTGTTTTCTTTATTTTATTTTTCTACTGAGGGACTTCAGTGTCACTGCAGCCATAATATCAAACATTCAGTTTAAAAAGAACGTTACAAAATTGCTGGGTATATTTGTATGAGTGCAAAAACCTTCGTCTTGGGTTTAAGTTTGTCATCAAATAAAAAAATTTAAAACATTTGTCAATTTATATTATTATTTTATTTTTTATATAATTTTATTCATATTAATAATTGTCAATTAAACACAGAAGGATGGTAATGTGTGTTCATCTCACCGGTAACTTTAGTTCCTATGATGAGCGGTAAAGGGATTTCATCAGGAAGGTCTTTGCAGTTTGACAAGTCAGACAGTTTTCTTTGCTGCAAAAGTCGCATTTTCTGACGTTTCTGCTTCAGCGCCGCTCTCTCTTCATTAAAGAATGCTGGGGAACACCTGACGGGGTCAACGGAGCACAGCGCTCTCACAACACTTTTCTTAGTTCTCGGATTTCAAATGAAACGAGCAAAAAACAAAACGAGAACAGGAAAAGGTTTAGAGTTTAGAAATCGTAGCGTACCGTCGAGGTTTCCCCATCAGTCTCCTGATTGTTCCCCACTCAACTCTCGTCAGTTTTCTTGTTTTCAGGTTGGGGAAAGACTCTTTGAGGCACAAGCAGAATTCATTGTCGCCTTCAAAAAGGGGTCTGGAGCAAGATTAAAAATAAATTAACCAAGACATTTTAAACTTAAGCTACAGAATTTGATGTATTCTTCTGAACAGTCAGGTAAATTTACAGACTAAGTTAATAAAGATCTGTTCTGTTTGTAATTGCAGATATTTAACTAAAATTATAATCCTATTCAAAAGATTAACCGTTTCAAATATGTATCAAATTATATATTTTTTTTAAGACAAAATGACTAATATAAAATTCAGATCTCCTAAGTGGCTCAATGAGACTAACCTGTATAAATAATGGTTGAATAAAAAAGTGTCAGTTACACTTTTTAAAAAATTTGTTTGAGTGTATCCATTAAAAATGGTTGTCTTCCGAGGGTGACGATGACTTTACCTGTCAATATTGGAATAAAACCATTCATAGATGCACCATTTGTGAGCTTTGGGTAGCTTAAGAAGGTTTCTTAACCTCAGCCCTATTTTCTGTGAAGCCTTCTTATCTGGCGTCATGACATTTGAAAACTTCTGCAAAGACAAAACATACAGGTACACAAGTATTACAAAATGATGACAATAATGACATCATCACTACCACATGGTTCCTTTTATCGAAGAGCTTTGACCTCGTCAACTACTAATAAACACAGACTCAGCGATGGGATTGGATAGACACTAAAAGGTTTAAATTAACAGTTGTCTAAAAATTCTAGGTATAAAACAACATGTTGCTCTACTGTGCAGAATATTGATGCAGGGCAGCAGAACTGGTAGATCAAGTTCATCTCCACTGCTTTGAATACGCCCACAACTGAAACAACCTTTGGCTTTTTTAGAGACTATTTCTGACATAAAAACAAGCCCTTAAGAGTCAAATATTGTCCTTTGAGACATTTCACAGCCTTTTCATAAGAACCATGAGTGGAAAAACCACTGCCCTCTGTGTGACGGTCTGATAAGAGCAGGTTTACCTGTGGAGTGGTGGAGACTTTCTGGCTCCTCCGAGGGGATCTGGAAGAGATGCGCTGCTGCGGGGGTTCGTCTTCATCTCGACACAAACGACTCCTCTTCGAGCTCCTTGTAGGCTGACAAAACAAGCAAAAAAATTTTTTTCAATTATAGCTTCAGTGGGGGGAAAAGTATTTGATACACTGCCTATTTTGTAACTTTTCCCATCCACAAAGAAAGAAGACGTCTGTTATTTTTATCGTAGGTACATTTCAACTGAGAGAGACAGAATTTAAGAAAGAAAAAAAAAGAAAATCACATTTTATGATTTTTAAATACAAACCGGATTCCAAAAAAGTTGGGACACTAAACAAATTGTGAATAAAAACTGAATGCAATG